CTCTCTTTGATAGCAGTTACCAGATCAGCTTTGCAGGTTGGAGCCTTCTTGTGGACCATTTTTTTTCAATTTCCAGTTTTCAGGGTAGGTTTTCAGTTGGGTTGAGATCTGGACTATTTGCAGGCCATGACATCGACTGAAAGTGTCTTTCTCCAAGGAATGCCTTCACTGTTTTTGCCCTATGGCACGATGCATTGTCATCTTGGAAAATTATTTCATCACCTCCAAACATCTGTTCAATTGAAGGGATGAGAAAACTGTCCAAAATATCAATGTAAACTTGTTCATTGATAGAAGAATTAACCACAGTCCTCTCCCCAGTGCCTTTGCCTGACATGCAGCCCCATATCATCGAGGACTGTGGAAATTTGGTTGTTTTCTTCAGGCAGTCCTCTTCATAAATCTCACTGGAACAGCACCAAACAAAAGCTCCAGCATCATCACCTTGTCCAATGCAGATTCTTGACTCATCACTGAAGATAACTTTCATCCAGTCGTCCACAGTCCATAATTTCCTCTCCTTAGCCCATTGTAGTCTTGTTCTTTTTTGTTTAGGTGTCAGTGATGGTTTTGTTTTATCTTTCCTGTATTGAAATCCCATTTCCTTTAGGCGATTTCTTACGGTTCAGTCATATACATTGGCTCCAGCTTCCTCCCATTTATGCTTCATATGTTTAGTTGAATGTTTTCAGTTTTCAAGACAAATGGCCTTGAGTTGTTTGTCTTGATGCTTTGATGTCTTTCTTGGTCTACCAGTATGCTCGGCTATAACAACTATTCCATGTTGTTTGTATTTGGTCCATTTCTTGGATACAGCTGACTGTGAACAGCCCACATCTTTAGCAACCATGCGTGAAGAATTACCTTCTTCAAGAAGTTTCACAATCCTCTCTTTTGTTTCAAGAGACATTTCTCTTGTTGGAGCCATGGTTCTTGCCACTCCACTTAGTCCAGCAGCCCTCCAATGTGTCATGACTGCAGGTGTTTTTAACTGCAGACCAACGAGCAGATCTAATCTGAGGCAGGTGTCCATTTAGGGAAAGGAAATTGACTGGGTGTGTCCTTATTTTCTACCTCCAATTTGAGTGATTCCATACTTTTTTCCTCCGAATTCAGTGATTCCATAATTTTTTTTCTCTGTGCTTGGTCAATAAAAGTAACATTCACTGACTTCCACGTTTTCTCTTCATTTCTTTGATTTGTTCCTGAAAGCCAACAAGTTGCACTTTGGAATGACCTTATTATTGTATCATGTTTTTGATCTGAGTTTGTTTTACAGAATGAAATGTCTGAATGAGTGCTCATCCAACTAGGGGTTGTATTTTTAAAAAAAATTACAAAACTAAACAGCCTACAGTATTTTTACAGTCATTTTACAGTTAAAATAAATGTTTATCAAATAAAGTCTAATGTTACAATTAATCGTGGATCCATTTAAATGGTCAAATGGAGGACTGAGAGCAGAGGGTCCATGTCTCAGATTAGATGTGAATTTTTATGTACTGTTTTCCAGCTTCTTACCATCCTCTGTGTTTGGAACTTTGAAACCGTTCAGAGAGTCCTGTCAGGAAACAAAAAACAGAGGAAGTGGACCACATTAGCAAAAAACCAAACAGGTCAGAGGTAATTATTTGGACTGGCACTAACAGAAACAGCTAATATTAAGCTTTGAGGTTGGAAATCAGTGCTGGTCTTTCCTGGTTTAAAAGTTCACTCCTGTAAATAAAGAGCACTTTGTGCAGCAACTCTGGAAATAACTTTGGAAAAACTTAGAATATCCGTCCCACCAGAAAAAAATTGATGTTGAAAATGTACTTTGATTCTTTGAACAACATATGGTCTGAAAATGTTATGAGACAGTTATACAGTCACACAACCTCCCCATTAAACAATTATTATAGAGAAATTCATCCATCATCCATCCATCCATTTATCCATCCATTCATCCATACATCCACCCGTCCATCCATTTATCCATCCATCATCCATCCATCCATCCGTCCGTCCATCCATCCACCCATTCACCCATCCATCCATCTATCATCCACCCATCCATCCATTTATCCATCCATCATCCATCCAGCCATCCATCCATTTAGCCATCATTATCCATCCACCCGTCCATCCATTTATCCATCCATCCATCATCCATCCAACCATCCATCCGTCCGTCTGTCCAGCCACCTGCTCGCCTGTCCGTCCGTCCATTTGCCCGCCCATCCATCCATCCATCCATCATTTGAAGCCTGGCCTCAGATCTCTTCTCGTTCTTGTTACTTCAGTATGATTTATAAGAGGTCTTGAGGTCAGCCTCCTGTTGTTTCACCTCTGAGCCGCTAACAGCTCTTTCAGAAGACAGTACCACCAAATAGCCAAACAGCCAATTCCATGTTGATGCTCCCACTGGCAGTTCAGGAGTTATTGGTAGAGACATTCTCTTAAGCTAGGTTTATAGTTGATGCATTGAACACAGTGATGCAATCATACCATCCCCACTCCAGCATGTTGGAGGTGCACACAGGACCTGGTATATGGTAGCCTTGTTGTATTTTATCATCTCAGCTCACAATCAGTTGCAAGCCAACAGAACCATATTATCACCAAAAAGCAGAGATTTTATTCAAAAACCATCCAAAATACAGTTCTAGGTGAGTTTAACACTCACAGGAACTAAGTCAGAATTTCTACGGACAATGACTCAAGCTTGGTTTGTACAGGAAACAACTGGTCCACAAGTGGACCAACATCCCACATTCCTAGAAGACCCACAGAGGACACAATCATAAGCTTTTTTTCAAGTTAACACAACAAAATAACTACCGGTAGTTGGACAAACTTCAATGCATCTGAAGAAGGCTTGATGTACCACTATCAGCCTAACCCTTATTTATCTCCAGGAAGACGGAAAAGTGTAGTTCATTTGTAATTATATAGGTTACTAATGTTTTCTGCAACACTGGTAAGTACAGTAGCTTCTGACTTAGTTTTGGTTTACAATTCTTTTCTTATTATATAAAATAATAAGAGGTGTTAGTAGGGTTGGGCATAATCGTATGGTGTGAGGTTAATTGTCAGAAAACCATTAACTGATTATTTTTTGGCACTTGACAATACGATTATGGCCCCCAGGCAGAGTCCGCTCGGTGCTCCTCTCTGCTTTTATGCTCGAACATTTAAAAAATATGACGAACATTTAAAAAAAGTTTTGTATTTTATTTATCTATCAACACAATTTAATATTTGATGTATAGCCTGAAGTCTGTAATTTTGACACAATTTGGAACAGATTTTTACGAAGAGCAAATCTTTCCCACTAAATTGGCCATGTGACTAGGACATAAGTGTGTCTGGGGACTCCAGGGGATAAACCCTCAAATTAATCGTTATCGGCTAAATACCATAATTAATCGTGATTAATTTTTTTGCCAATATAACCCAAACCTAGTGTTTAGACAAAATTTATTGAGGACAGTTAAACTATTTCAGTAAGCAATAAAATTCATTTCGCAGTTGTTTTGAATCAAACTTTAATAGAAATAAGAGATAGTTATTTAATTTATTCAGTACCATTATTGACCAATCTGAAAACTTCTATTTTCTTTTTTAAATAATTTTATATACTGTACCAACAATTAGACTGGTTTTATAAATGGATTCATCCTTTGATAACATTGTACACTTTGACTAAGAACAGTCTGAAGCACACTGACCTCGTTTTGTTGAGACTCAACTCCCTCAAACACATCAGAGAAAGGCATGCTGGGAATAGTGGCAGTATGGTACACATTGGATTGAGAAAAGTTCCCAGTGCTGTAGAGACGAGGTCGTTTGATCTGGTCTTGTGTAGACAGAGGGTCAAAGCTGTTCCTGCGGAATAAAGGCGGCGGCGTGGTCTTTGGTCTGACTTTATTCTGGTGAGAGAGAAGAAAACAGACATGGAGGATAGATTTGTAAACGTTTTGAGACATACAAACCTTCCTTAGTGAGAAAATACTATCACAAAACCAGTTACTGTGAGAAGACAAAGAAGCCAAAACAGCTATGGAAACCAACACCCAGAAATTGAAAAGTTATTGTTATGTCTGTCTCAGCAGACAGGATATTCCTCACTGCAATTAAAAAGAGGTTTTACAGTCAAAGTTTTCTGTGTAAACACCCACTCTGTCTAAAGATTTAACACTTGTCAGTTAACCAGCAAAACTCTGCAGGCGAGGAACGGTTCTGCACATTCATGATTAGAAAATGATGACAAAGGGCAGTCATATCTGACAGAGGTTTTCCCTGATTGATTCAACAGCCAGAGATTTTGTTTGGTATTGGCTGGTCCTCAACATTACAAACATATTCAAATGCAGCCCGACAATTGAAAAATGAATTATTTTCTATCCTTTCTTTCTACTCATATTACTTACTGGATAAGTTGCTTGTTAAGGAAATAATATTGGAGCATAAAAGCATTACCTTAGGTGCTATCATACAAACAACATATAGTACTGTCACTAGATTGCCTCATTGGCTGATGAACTGAATTGCTTGTTTGCAGGTTGTGAGGCAAAAGCATATAACTTGGAAACAATAATAGCAAAGCCACATACAGTAATTCCTCACTGTACAGGAATATGAAGTGAGACACGCAAGTAGATTTGTGAAACTCAAAACCCATGCTGACCAGATCACCACTGTCTTTACGCACATTTTCAAACTCTCTCTCGTTCCTCCGTTTAAAATCAACAGTTTTCATCCCTGTAATAAATCATCCAATGACAGTCTAATTAAGGGGTTTTCAACTAAATCGCTTAGTGAACCACAGTTACTGAAAGCCAACAGCTCAGGGGCTGGACATCCAGAAATTAAAGAGGGGGTATTATGCAAAATTGACTCTTTTTTTTTATTCCATACTATCAAGTTATGTCATTCCCTCATCAAAAACATACCTGAGTGTTGCTTTAACTCATTCATGCATGTTTGTGAAGTCCTTGAATTTCCTGTGGAGCTGCCTAAATGCTTGCTGGTACAAAGCACCGCCTATTTGTACAAAGCTCCTCCCTGGAGCTCAGTCTACAGCCGAGCTCCTGCCCCCACAGAGAACCCCTCCCCCGAAGAACTGTTGTGAAGACATGCTGAAGTGGGAGTGTCTGAAATGGTAAGAGGTTCTTAAAGTGGCAGAGGTCAAATTTCAAGGTGTTTAGATGAACTATGATGCAAAGTCAATTGTATTTTTGATATATACAGCTTTTTCATAACAACTGAAGTTAACATACATAACATCAAATGTATCAATCAACAATATTTAGGTTACCTAACTACGGTAATTAACTCTTAGTATTAAGCAGAGCTCAACACTTGAGGCTGGAATCTGTTTAAAGTGAATTTACAATAATGGTAAGTTTTCGGTAGAGACTAAATTTACCTTTTGAATTTTGTTACAAAAGTAAAATAAAATAAAAAAACTCACAACCACACACATATCTAAGCCTGGATAAATGACTTTCAGGACCGTCTGCTGACTGTGAAACCTGGACCTCCATCATCACGCTCAGCACCGGATCACCACAGGGATGTGTGTTGAGCCCCACACTGTACACCTGCTCATCAGCTGAACACGGCCATAAAGTTTGCAGACAACACAAGTGATGGGTCTAATAACAGGGTGATGAATCAGAATATAGGGATGAGGTCTAGTAGTTGAAGTGTTGATGTTCAGGTAATAATTTGTCACTGAACACAAAAAAGACCAAATAACTCATCATTGATTTAAAGGGCCAATATAATGTGTTTCTCAGGCATATATTTCAATTGTATACCATAATAATGTAATTATGTTACCTTCAGTTTTTATTAAAAAGCTGTTTATATGTTTAAATTAAATTTTTTAAAAATTGGTGAGACTCCCACAGAATGAGAGGAGCTGAAACAAAACTACTTTTTTACATATACTGTACATACTATGTTTGTTTATTGTTTAAAATGCTTAACTATCATATGAATATACAGTATGTTGTGGATTTTATTTTTACTTTTTAAAATTTTTCATTTTTTTATTTAATGACTCATGTAAATATTAAAATAATTAGGACTAACTGCAGACTTAACAGAACACCTGTGCACAGTGAGAGTGAATCTGTCCTGCACAACTAGATGTCTACTTTTGTTTTTAAGCATGAAACTGTAGGTAGTAATTTTGGTTGAGTTCCTTAGAATACGCCTCCTCCAGTTTCCTTGTCATGACAAAAAAGCACGGTATAAAAATACTCATTATATGGAGGAGGGTGGATGGTCTTTAACTTCTGTGAGCACCAAAAATAGTTTCATCAAACATCAAAAAGAAACTTACTAAAGGTCTGTTTCTGTGAGTGTTGACAGCTTCCACCTTCAGGTCAAATATATCCACTTTACAGCCTGGACACAGAAAAAAATGCATCAACAACAAAACAAGAGGTTTCATTGGCTTGAAAACAGAGAGCTGACTCACCGTACGCCACAGGAGTCAGTTTGAGGACAGTATGAAGGGGACACTTCATGTAGGGTAGGTCTTCTGAGGAAATAAAAACAAAACAAATGACAAGCGGGACTCGGCTGAGTTATAGATGTATCCGGTCATGTTTTTTTTCCTCTCATGCTTGAAAAGTCCCACAGCTCTGAAGTGTACGGTGTGCTTCATGAGTTGTATGGTTACACACTGCTGTGGTCCAGGACCAGGCGGTTGGAGTGGGGTCAGACAGAATTCGTTGCAGCACCCAGTCTTTGGTTTCTGCACTCATTTAACTGTGGCTGAGCCTCCCAGTGATGCTGCTGCATCATGGACCACTTCCTGTGGTGACTACAGAGACCTTCTGTTTACACATGTAATGACAAATTTCATTTCTAACAGGATTTTCCACTGTCTGACCCAATTTAATGGGCAGGAGCGTTATAAATAACTCTTTGGTTTGCATATAAATGCATACTCAGAGAGTAAAAACCACTTCCTACACAAGTAAGAATTCATCATAACTGTGGAGAAACTTTAAACAAAGAGATGGAACTTGTAAAAAGTTTTCACTACATTTGGTCAAAGAGAAGAATGATAGCACTTATGAAGAAGTAATAAAATGAGGTAAGTTATAAAGCTTCAAACTGATTCCTTTCACATTTTTATTTTTATTTAACTGCAAATTTACTCATAAAAACTTTATTTGGGCTCAGAATTTCATCAGCTCCATCTTGTGAACATTTCTCATGACAGAGGTGAAGAGGAGAAGCTGGACTGGTACTCGTGGTCAAGAGTTTACATCCATTCATCTAAATTGCTCATGAAGTCACAGTTTCTCAAACCTAACAGCCCAGGGGCCGGACATCGGAGGGGGCAGGGTTGCTTGATAAAAATAGAAAAATTTGCATTATGTAAAAAAAAAAAATAATAAAAAAATATTAGCTTTTACATTTGATTATTATGCTGTATTGGATCAAAAATTACAAATTGTAAATTGATTTAAAATCTATTTTTGTATAAG